TTTAATTAAACTTCTTGCAGCAAGATAGGACAGCAGTATCAGTGAGAGGCTCTTAGGAGGTGCCTGTACAGGATTTAGGCTTGTTAGGTGTTATTAAGTGGCAACTATCAATTGACAGCTATAGACAGACTTTTTTTCTTTCTCATATATTGCCAGGTGTCCATTTCACTTAGTAGCAAGCTAGCTTCCAGATGGCAAGTCAAACCAAAAACCAAACTCATTGCCATCAAGTAGATTCAACTCATAGTGACCCAATAGGACAGGGTAGAAATGCCCTTGAGGGTTTCTGAGACTGTAACTCTTTACAGAAATAGAAAGCCTCATTGTTCTTCCTGAGGAAGGATGGTGGTTTCAAACTGGTGACCTTGGGCTTAGCAGCCCAATGTGTAATCACTATACCTCCAGGGCTCCTTACTTTACGACCAAATAATCAGTGCTTAAAGAGTGCCTAGCATACAATAGGCAGTCAATAAGTACTTAATATTTTTTTCAAAATATCTTCCAAACCTTAGCAAGTATATTCGGATCCTAGAATGTCCCATAGGTGATAGGAGGGTAATAATGGTTGATGACGGGCAAACAAGAATCAACATTAATCCTTCACAGTAATTTTGTCAAACAAAACTCAAATTCATAAAAAAGACCAGACTTACTGGACTGATAGAGACTACCACCCTAAGACATCCTTTAAACGTATCACTCCTAGAGGTCACCGTTCAGCCAGAATTATAATAGATTGACTGGGGGAAAAAAAAGTGTGTGCTTTACAATAGTCAGCTGTAGAAGAACAAATGGGCAACATTTGTCCAAAAGCAAAGATGAGAAGATAGGGGAGGAAAAATGTAGAAACAGAAATTTTCACAGAACCATTTGTGCATACATTGTTAGTGAGAAACTAATCTGCTATGTAAACTTTCACCTAAAACATCATGAAATGCTGGGGGTGGGGTGGGGGATTATGCAATTTGCTTATGTAGAAAGGAAATTAAGATACCATTTTTACCTATTAGATTGGAAAACATAAAAAAGTTTGGGAAGCTGTTTTGGCAGTGGTGTGGATTAAAAAGCCAACTCAGGGCTGAGGGAAGAGTAAAACTGGTACAAACTATGCTACGGTGTGAACAGCTAACAAAGTTCAAGTTGCATAAAGCTTTCATCTCAACAGTTTCACTTTTAGGAATTTATTCTACAAATAAACTTGCAGACATGCAAATTGATGTTATTTACTGTGGTGTTGTTTTGATAGTAAATAATCTAAGTAAATGATGGCACTCAACCAACGTAGTATCATGCCACTAACAAAAACAAAGTAGATCTCATTCTTCGAGTACTTATGCGGAGAGCATGCTGACATATGAGGAAGACAAAAGCACCTCCTAACATCCAGAACTCGGCCTGGAACCATTAGCTCAAATTTAACGTCGCCAGATGCCGGCATGGCACTCACAGTTAGCCACTGTTCTCCGGGCGAACACAAAAAATTCACATAGAAAAAGAGGAGCTGATACCAAGGGCTCAAATAGAAAGTAAATGTTTAGAAGAGGATGATGACAACGTATGTACAAATATGCTTGATACAATTGATGTATGGACTGTTACAAGAGCTGTTAGAGCCCCCAGTAAAATGATCTAAAAAATTAACAGAGATCTGTCACCATGAAGGATAAAAAAATATCTATTGTCAAAATAAGAACAACCAAGTTGTAAGTGCTCCTACTTCTGTACCAAGTAGAGCATTAACCTCGGCTCATCCCTCCCACTTTATAGTTAAGACTTAATATGCACAATCACAGAATCGCTCCTGTTCTAAAAGCATACAATTCAGAGAACAGCCTTACTTCCTTAAGACATTCCCCCAAATCATTGAATGTAAGTTCTAATTATTGAACTGTAAGTATATCTTTGGCTGGGAGACAATGGCACATGTAAAGCAAAATGCAAAATAAGTAAGCAAAATGCAAAACCAGCTGTACATACTATAACTGGTGCAAAATATTTTCATTAAAAACATATTTGTTGAGGCATAGAACAATTCCAGAAAAACACACAAGAAATGAGTTTAAATAGCTGCCTCCTGGAAGGGGAACTAAAAAACGACAGAAGAGGGAGGGAGAAAAACAGACTTTACAAATAATCATTTGTGCCATCCTGATGAATTGCTTAAACTCCATGTTTTGGTTTTTTTCCTTCTCAAAATAACATCTTTTTAAAGTTAGTGAGAATCACAGGCGTCACTGTGGAATCAATTAGTAAAGAAAACGCAAAACCTTATCAATTCCTGCATGTAAGATTACAACTGTGCTGAAGGCCCTCAAATTGTCTAGTGCTTTCCAGACAAGCCTCCCAAATCAGTCTTCGTGGAAAAATAGGTTCAAATTTCATGGACTTAAACTTTTTCTTGATGAAGACTGCTGATCTAGCTGTATCAAAATATCATTAGATACACATATTCTCTTCAGAAGGGAAACCAGGGCTCTTAGGTTGGACTATGAACAAACCATGATGGTTTCATATTTCTAGCTCTCCCAGGAAGCCCAGCTGAGCGCAGATGTTAATTAGCATTTAAATACCATTCTATTCTAGCAGAGGCTTCAAAGCTGTCATTTGGTCTTCTTCCACCAGGGGGCTAGAGCTGAGCTCTCTCAGGCACTGCTCTAGCAGCTTCCCTTTGCAGACTCCTTTTCAGGCTGGCAACCCAGCAGTTTAACAGGGGGGTTAGGTGCATGGTCTCGGAGAAACAATTTTATAATATACTGCGTATATTATATCCTAGATTTACATCACATAGGCTAGTAGCAGTTCGCAGCGCATTTGTTTGGCCTTGATCTTCTTTGGCCAGGGCAAAAGCCTCTAAGCTGTCCAGTTCTAGTTCACTGACCTACTGTCTGAGGATCACTGGCCTTTCCTTCATATTCAGTTTGTGCTTTTATGTATTTCCAGCTCCTCATCTTTCTCTTGTTTTACATTTCTGTCCTTTACCTATTTTTATCTACAAAACTACTTCTACTGCTACCCACGACTTAGACTTTGGAAACTGGCATTCCTAATACTTCCACTTACAATAAAATTAAACACATACCTATCAACAGCTCCCTAATACATATATTAAAATAAATCTGAAATTTTATATAGCAACTTATAAACTTGCTCAACTTGTTTACTCATTACTCCTCAGTATAAATTCCATTGCAGTCTCTTGAATATACTCTATGTTTACTTCTAAGCCTTTGATCATGCCCTATCTTTCAGGGAGTGTCTAGTGCAAGTTTCATATGCTGTTATAGGTTGACTAGTGTGCCCCTAAAATCTGTACGGAAATCCTAACTCCCATTCCTGTGGCTATAATTCCATTTGGGAATGGGTTTACTTTGTTATGTTGCTGACACAGGTTAGTGCAGGTTCTATCTTAAATCACTCTCTTTTGTGAAATTAAACAAGTGAGTAGTAAAGATTCGGTGGTGGTGGTAGTGGTGGTGTCAGGAAGAGCGATACTACACCATGTGAGTATCACCAAGGAACACAAGCTGCAGACAGAAGCCTTCCCCAAAGCCAGCAGAAAAAGCCTTCACCTACAGGCAGACCCTGTTTTCCGACTTCCGGCCTCCTGTGAGAATTGAGGACTGACTGGGAAACAAACCAGGGTCTCATCCTGGGGAGGTGAGAATACCCAATGGATGCCCTAGTGGTGCACCAAACTACCACCAACATGTGGTAGTTTGAACCCACCAGCTGCTGTGTGAAAAAGGTAGCAGTTAGCTTCTATAAAGATTATAGCCTTGGAAACAGTATGGGGCTATAATCTGCTCCAGGGCAATGGGTTTGGTTTCTGGATTTTAACTGAGAAAATAAATTTGTTTGTTAGGGCCACCAATTTGTGGTACAGCACCACTAGATAACTAAGACCATGCTTAGTGAATCCTTCCCCCCCCCCCACCACTTGTTCTAAGAATCTTATTTATTTTTTAAAAAACATTTTATTGAGGGCTCTTAAAGCTCTTGTAACAATCCATAGATCACTTGTATCTTGCACATTTGTACATATGTTGCCACCAATATTTTCTAGACATTTATTTTCTATTGAGCCCTTGGTGTCAGCTCCTCTCCTCCCTCCCCCCACTTCCCTCCCCCCAGTGAATTCTTATAGGGTCACCCAGCTCTCACTGAGCCTGTCTTCTCTAACTTAACGCTAAATTAAGACAACCAGTTTGGTCTTCTTCCCATATACAGTTTGCTCCCTCAGTGGTTTCCAAACACCCCCGTGCCCTACTCTAACCATTTTTCCAAAAGGAAAGCCTACTAAGAGAGCCAAATACTTTGTAAAACCTCAACTCTTTCCTTCTCTTTCCCTGAAGATGAGTACTGCCAGTATTCTTTTTATGTCTACAACTGCTCTGGACTGAATCAGAAGAAGTAGTCCTGGATAAACTGGAAGACAAAATGTGGAACAAACCTCTAAATCATAAAGACCAGTCCTGCCACTGAGAAGAGACAGGCTAGGTTGTGGCCCTTAGAAAGTCTTCAACCCTGGAACTAGACTCACCCCGGTGGCTCAATTTTCAGCCAAAACAGACCTGTAAAGTGATTAATAACACCACGGATAATAATATTCCTTAGACCAGTCACCCACATAAAATGAAAAGAGTAGTATTTACCCAGGAATAAAGCTCAGAAGGCAGGAATGGACAAGAAGGAAATAGAACTGGGAAAAAACGGGAAAAAATGGGAAGAGCGCTGTTACATTGTGGGGATTGCAATCAACGTCACAAAACATATACAAATCTTTGAATGGAAAAATTATTTGCTCTGTAAACTTTCATACAAATCACACACAAAATTTTTTAAACAGATCTAATAGGCCATTATGAATTCTACAGGAATTCATAAATGCCAGAGAGATATGGCATTAAAGTCACAGGGCTTTATCGTGGGCAAAAATAAAACTTTTAAAAATAGGTCAGCTGCATTAATAATGCAAACACATTTAAATGAGACTGCAAGACGACTTTCAAATGTTTTATTTTTAGTGTTTTTAAACATTTTAATACAACAAAGATATAAAATAATATATATTAGTTACATCTGGATTTAATTTAGAATCAAGGTATTTACTTATATACAAATCTGTGCTTCAAGGTATGGCTACCACAGAAACTTCCACACCTTCAAGTAATACCAGTTTCTCTGTGGACAGTGAGACATTTGGTAGAATACTCAAAATAAAACATGCTCATTTCAGTGCGAGCTAACTCTGCTCTTTCCCCAGTTAGTACCAGTTTCCATTTTCTTTGTTCCATGTCAAAAATATTCCATTGTCCTAAGAATCCAAATTCTCTGAATGAAAAATTATTAATATTAAACATATTTTAAAATGACATTAACCAATAACATCCCTTGGCTATGTTGATTTTCAAATAACCCAGTAGGAAATAAGACCTGGAATAAGCAGAGTATTCCTTTCTTCTCCCTCCATTTCAGGCACAAAGATTATTTCGCTGAAACTTGGAGTAAACAGTATTCTTAAACCCAATTTATTCGTTGAAATATGGCTTATAGACCTCACAGGTATTAGTAATAAACTTGATGCAAAATAACAGGTCCTATTTTAGTTATTTAAAACTGATGGCATTTGATTGGGGGTGGGGGTTGAGGGCGATATAAGGAACCATAACCTACTTCCTACTGATTTCAGTCATTTAAAGTCATTCAAAGACAACAAAACAAAACTCTTGCCTTTTTCTTTCACCTGAAGCATTCTGACCTTTGATGTTAACAGTTCCCATCTACATAGGTGTAAGGCTAATTCTACACTTATACACTTCTTACAGAGGTGTAAGGCTAATTCAGTCTAAACTTACAAATGCAAACTGTCTAAACTGTAGTAAGTAAAGTGGTATTAAAACTGACAAGCTCTGTCAGATTTGAAAATGTCTACATGAGATCAATATTGCTTAAGAAAGCAACCAGACTATTCTAAAAAAGAGCTTTTTTTGCCTCAAATACCCGAATACCTTAAAGAACTGACAGGTAACTATTACTATAATTATTTTGAATAAGGGGTAACTTTTAGTCTTTAAAGACTATCAAATAATTACATTTCTTAAAATAAAAAGTTGAAGACAAGAAAATGGTTAACATTCTCTAGTATTTTAAAATTGGAATCCTTAAAAGAAAGTTTATTATATAATTGCTTTTTGTGGAATAAAGTCAAAGCAGTTTAGTATTACTCTGAATTTGACTCCAGTAACACACATCTTCCAGATTTCTCTAAAATAGACTGTTTCATATTAGCTTTAAGAGGATTTGGCTCCTGTGTCACACATTTATAAATTATAGGATTTATTCAGGCAGAATACGTAGGAAAGAACATTATTTGCAGTGTCGTTCTTAAAAACAGTTATACTAGCAGCAGGGTTCTCTGGCCACTGGGTTTTAATTGTGATCAACTTACATACTGTTTTAGGTGTAAACTCATTGTTTTCTGATTTGAAAGAATACTAATAAACTGCATATAGATTTACTTTTGCCCTAGTAATTCCAGCTATATAGAATACAGTCATGCTGAAAATCCTGCAGTTCAGCTAAGAGGCTTTCTCCAAATTATCTAATGATAACAGCAGACTTTACTTCTTCAAGACTGCCACATCCTTCTGACTTCAATCATGCTAGCAGTAACACTGCCCTGTCTGGTCTTTGTTTGTTTTTGAAAAAGGTGATGCTGTCTCCAAGAACATTAAAAAAAGGAAAAAACAAGAATTTTAGTATGCCTTCCTAGTTTGTACCTCAAAGCCAGAAACCTTCTTGAAAAAATATGTAGCTCTAAGGCATGTAAGCTTCTCTACCTGTCCACATTCAATCCCAAAATGTAAACATAAAGATTAATTTCTCTGTGATTTAACAAGAAAAAAATTACAAAGACAAAGTTTGGAAATTTCTGGACCAAAAAAGTTACTAAAATGTAGGTTTCATGTTAAAAAAGAGACTTGAAGATGATTAATTTTTGTAAACACTGCCTTGTGATAGCTATAACAATGAATTATATGTCTAGCTTACCTTTTTCTCAAAACAGGCATGAGTAAATGCAAGGCTGAAAAGTTATTTTACAATCTTCTCTCAATGTCAACAGCTCTGCAAAGTTAGCTGCATTTTTTTTCTACTTTGTTCTAGAACGGAGTCCATATGAAGGAAAGAAGGCTGATGTTAGGGAAAAATTACCACTTAGTAGCGATTTAATATTTCTGAATTAATGTGATCACACATTTTGGGGAACGTTTTCCTAAAAGCCAACATCAGTCCCTCCTTAGCTAAATTCAGTTCTACTCTGCCATTTGGAAACAATGGCAACAATAAAACTCTCAACTTCAAGGGTCAAGCCACCTTAAGGGTCTTAGGACTTCCTTCACCTTTCATGACTATAAAATTCCCTTAAATGAAATGTTGGCATTTTTGTCCCTGACATATTATAGAACCAACAATTTAATATAGAAGATTCTGAAGCATGAGATTTAAAAGCATAATAAAACTTGAATTGCCTTGTTCTATTACCTCAAGTGAGAAATAAAAAATAATGTTCTGAGCAGACTGAAATTGGGGTCATTTAACAATGACTAAAACTTGCTTGCATAATACTGCTAAATTCATTCCGTTTCCTCTCTGCAGCTTATACCGGAGTGGGACTATGAATTAAAGTGCAACAAGAATGCATTACTCACGAAAGGAGAGGGCTTCTGCTGTGAGATCTGACTGCAGACCTCGGTATGCCAGCATCTTTTCTAACGGTTCACTTTAAAATGGAATGGGAAGACTACACAATATTTCAAGTGGCTAAGCTCACTAGTTGGGATTCAAATTCCTCTATCACCACCAAACTGCTGTAACTGCTATCCAAATCATTACAAATAAAGTGACAAGTGTTACTAGAGTTGTGAAATTACTTAGGGAGCTAACCTTCTAGTGTTGTAAACAGCACCTAAGTTAACATAACTTCCTGACTGTCAAAAGCCATTAGAAAGAATGTATGTACACAACTGTATTTAAAAACTATACCAACTAAACCTTTTAATATCCAAATCTGTCTGAGACTGTTTACTTTTGATGGACACTAATGAAAAATTTCAAAAGTCAAAAAGTTTCAAAAATATTTGAAACCACTTAATAAATTTCATTTTAGAAGAAAAAATTCTTTACATGTATACCTCCCTTTTTAAGGACATAGACACTTTACCTAACAAATGGCAGCATACTTTCACTTTATTCATTAAATAATATCATTAAAACAGCCTAATACTGGGCTGTCACTTGTCTAACTAACAACTATAGCACAAAGTTATTCCAGGCATCTAACATCACTAAGTTAATTTTATTTTTATGGATGCAGCAATTTTTCCCTCATGAATACTGAGAGTCATTGAACACTCAGAACCAAATAGGAAATGCACCTATTGTAACACTTGTGGTGGCAACTGCAAGCACTATACTTGCATTAATGAGGGGGCAGGTGGCTTCTTCATCAGTTCTTTGCCATCTTGTGTACTGCGCCTTGCCTTCTCTTTGTGTTTGGCATCCTGGTATATTCAATTACTTTTCTTGGAGTTGGTTCAGAAGGAAAAATTATCTGTCAATAAAGAAGATCACTTTCCAGAGTTGCATTTTCTAAAGAGACATAGAAAATAATTCAACGAACAAGGATCGCTCACTTGATAGGAACTTTTCCTTTGAAGAGAATCAGGAGCTTCAAAAAATATTTTTTGACTAGAGTTCTACTGGCAATCAATAAAAAGATTTCAACTCACACACTGCTTAAATGATTTACTTAAGATCAATAAGCAAATACTCAAAAGACATGGGCAACAGCCTGACTTCACTCACAAACATTAACTCCGCCGAAAGGGCAAAGGCAGAGAACACCTACTTAAGTTTTCTGTTCAAACAATTATGTAAGGACTCTTGATTGCTCAACTTGCTTTTCACAACCACAGCCTTGTTCAGAACAAGGAGCTTTGCTTTGTCAACATATAAACCAAAAAGGCAAGGCCTCCAGGAACAACCTAGGGGAGAAAGCAAAGTTATTTTCAACAACTACTATATGTTTAATCATGAACTCTTTACAAAAATATTGTCATCCAATTAGCCTTTTCATTATTGCCGGTTTTGAAAATGGCCAACAATATTCATTTGGTACTGTACCATTAACATTGCATTCAAAAAATGAAAACATGGGAAACCAAATCCTTGCTCTTCTACTTTGCTGGTAAGCTCTGGTATTGGCCAGAGTATGGTAGTACAAAAAGAGTCTTGTTGTGATATAAAAGGCAATAAATACATCAATGGAATAATGTTCATGGGCAGCCAAAATGAAGAAGATTCCAAAAAGGTTGAGAACCCAGGATAAAGTGTGCAAGAAATTCCAGCTTCTTGGTGTATCTGGGAAAAGGATAGAAAGACCATGTTTAAACCACATTCTTTCTGATGCTTCTCAGTCACATGTTTCTTATATCAGTCTACCTCATCCCCTTCCTCATAGGCCTTGACACCCTTCCCACAGCCTCCTCTGCAGCCTGATATCTAACAAGCACTAAAAAAAGATACTTACATTCAGTGACAAAGAAATTCAGCATAGTTAAGACAACTGTGTGGCCACTGAACATGTAATCGCCACAAGTGTGAACGCCAGTCAGGGTCATACCAAAGCCACTCCAAATGGCAAAGGCCCGGTGTAATTTCTCCCATACACTGCCATATATCTACAAAGAAAGCTATGAATTAGTGTTTCAAACAAAATTCAAATGCTAAGTGACTTAGAAGTATAATCTGGGCAAAAGCAACCAGACACCCAGCTAATTTCAGGCAAACCTCAAAAATAGGTGGTCAAAGTGGTTACATGCAGAAATGTTTTGGTAAGTAAAGGAAACCACAGCAATTCCAACTCTTCTATGAGGAGTCCCTTTTCAAATGAAAAGATCACAAACACACCCTGAAATATCAAATCCCACATCGAAGTAGCTTGGCTATTCTTGCCACTAAGAGAGAGGCTCTAAGTGAGCAAGGGCTACCATTCAATATCCTTTTCCCTTTCTTCCCTGGTAAGAGAATATCAATTTTATTTGAGGCAGCAATGTGAAGAGCCTTGTTATTAGACGGAGAGTATTGTAAACTTGATTATGACAGATGTAACTAGGTTAAAATGCAATACCTGATCATTTACCTTCTCTTTTACTCATTTTAAATTTGTTCTACTAGTTCTTAATATTCCCTGCTTTGTTTCAATTGAGCTTTTCCCTCTGGTTTATTTGGTTGTGGTTTATCTTTCTCCTTTAATTTTGCTTTTTCCCCCCTATATTTTTCAGTATATGTTCTAGAACTGAATAAAGTGATGATTACACATCTCTTCTTAATATGACTGAACTATGTAAAGGACATATGTGAATTATATCAATAAAACCATAAAAAGAAACTTAGCCCCCTCCTAATCCCATTACTTTAACATACCACAACCAAAAATGACCCAAAGAAAAACCTCTTTAGATAGTACACTCTCAGAAATCTAACCTGCTGATTATACACTGCCTAGTTTACCTTTTCTTACTGAGTTGAAAGCAGGAGAGGGAGAATACTGGAGAAAAGAAAAGAGAAGGCACCGAGCAAATGTGCATTGTTAGAGTCTTCTCTGATTTCAGGAAGGAATAGGGTTAGCACTGTAAGTGAAATTTTCAGAATGACAATGAGGAGATTGTTAGGAACATGTTAAAGTCAACGGAAACAGAAAGCAATTATGGCTGTTATTCAAGTCTCTCTATCCTTTCCTCATCTTTAAAAAAAAAAATCGTTTCCTATCTTAAGTGTCCCAAAAATTCTTCAGAAAAAGCAAACTAAAACACCACATAGCAGAATAAACAGGACGCTTTGAAGGAATAACATGTAGTAATTTGCTTTAAGTGTTTCTTTCCTAAAGGTAAGCTTACTGCTAAAGTCCATAAACAGGCCTACTCCTGGTTCTGTTCCCAATCCACCTAGATCAGGAATAAGATTTCAAGCAATTAACTTATTTTTTTAAAATTATTTCAAGCAATACAGAAATGGAGCTAATTGTAAGGGATTTGGTTGATGGTTGCTATCACTTTAACTTTCTATTATATCTTAATGATTTCTGCAAGTAATAATGGTCAATAAGTAGGTCGTATTATAATTTAAAGCAATTAACTATATTTAGGGCAGATTCAATTAGAAATTTCCAGCTATAAAAAACAATAAAAAGCAGGCATTAGAGACAGAAAAGGTCTACTCTGAGAGATGGTATCAATTTTTGTAGCCTCTGTCACAGTCTTATGCACATCTTTCTCTTCAATTAAATGTCCCAAGTATATGAATCCTCTTTTCAGCCTATATATTTTTTCACTTATATCTCTTCTAATCAAGTAACATACCACTCCCGGGAAATCACTCCATCCCTATTTCATACCATGTATAGAAACAAATTTTAAAATTAGAAATATAACAATTAATACCATAAAAGTATTAGATATCATTTTGTATTAATTTGAATAGCAGTGACTCTAAAGATTGAAAATAAACAGTCGAGGGCAAGGTTAGGGAAATGGACATGTATATATTATGGGTAGTAGTAAAAACTAGTCTTTTGTATAACCATATTTTTAATTTTAAAAATATCTACCTATATAACTATTTGTCAAGCATATTTAAATATAGTTCATGTGATTTTACTTATAGCTGTTAACAGAATTATTTATGGGGTGGAATAAAAGAAAGAAGAATTATATGAATATTTGACTTTTAATTTATATATCATGAGATAATTTAAAAATTTTATCATAAGCTCATATAACTTTAAAGTTAGAAAAACCACTTTCATGTTTGGGCTGATGGAAAACAAAGGAAAACAAAAAGCTTTTATCTTAAGTTTTATCTCCTTTCAGCTCAGGGATATATTTTTAGCTCTTGATCTTTTTTAGCTGCTTACACTTCCTTTGTTGGTATTTCACCTATTTATTTAAAAAAATCATTTTATTGGGGGCTCATTGAGCTCTTATCACAATACATGCATACAGTATATCCATTGTGACAAGCACGGTATTTCACCTATTTATCTTGCAGTAGAAGAACTGACACTTCATTTTGTTTTTCACTTTATACGCAACATTTAAACAATGACAACAAAAGTGTTAATCCCAGGGATAAAGCCTAGAAGGCAGGAAGGCATCGGAAAGGATGAATGCAAATAGCAAACACAGGGAGGAAATGGGAAGAGCACTGCTCTATGATAGGAGTACCGAAATCAGTATCAAGAAACAAAATGTGTATGGATTGTTGAAAGAAGTGCCAATTTGCTCCATAAATCTGCACCCCATTCACAATAGGTGTTAAAAAGAAACGGGGACATTTTAATACATATATTTGAGTATTTGAGAACCCCAGAACGAACGTATGGAGATTTAAAAAAGTAGGGTCATAAATTGTTTTATCCAAATTTAATGAGTCACAACCCAAAATTTTATATATACAAGTGACTTTCAAGGCCTTTAACAATTTTTTTAAGTAACTTATTACTCTCTTCATATTCCTACATACATAATCTCTCCTCTCTTAATCAAGAAGTTGTGTCTATAGTGTTCCAAAAGATATTACACAGTATAAAACAAAGACTCCCCACACACAGAAAAATTAGTTATCACTGTGCACATCCCAGAAAATACAAAGTTTGGAATACTAGGTACTACATTTAAAATGAGAAATGGTCAAATTTCAACATTAAAAAAGCATGGAGTGATGAGGGCCATGAAGGGTCCAATGTCATGTTATAAGAGGCACTAAAGACATTAAGGATTGGCTAGCCTAAAACAAAACAATCCAGTCCACGTTGATATGATTTTTTGTTCTGGGTCTATGATGCCTGATACTTGATCCCATAGATACCTCATGATCACACAGGCTGGTGTACTTCTTCCATGTGGGACTTGTTGTTTCTCAGCTAGATGGCTGCTTGTTTATCTTCAAGCCTTTAAGACCCCAGATGCTATATCTTTTGATGGCCAAGCACCATCAGCTTTCTTCACCACATTTGCTTATGCACCCATTTTGTCTTTAGCGATCATGTTGGGAAGGTGAACATTGTAGAATGCCAGGTTATTAGAACAAAGTGTTCTTGTGTCGAGGGAGTACTTGAGTAAAGGCCCAATGTCCATATACTACCTTAATACTTAACATAAATATATGTAATAGATCTATTTCCCTACCCTAATATATAATATATTTACATAAGTACATGCCTGTATTTAGACCTCTATAAATGTCCTTTGCCTCCTAGTTCTTTCCTCTATTTCCCTTTTACTTTCCTTCTGTCTCACTATCATGTTCAACCTTCATTCAGGTTTCAGTAATTCTTCTCGGTTGCATTGTCCTTGATCATGCCCTACCAGGCATCCTACGCTCTCCTGAAGCTGTAAATCTTTAAGGAAGCAGACTACCGCAGCTTTCTCCCATGGAGCAGTTGGTGGGTTTGAACTGCTGATCTTTTGGTGAGCATCCCAACACCAAATCTACTGCACTGCCCAGGTTCCTTTGGCTAGTCTAAGAATGGGAAAATGACGAAAGAAACTTATTAAAATTCTGTAAGCTCCACAGGGTAGAACTAGTCTCGATGGATAAAAGTCAGCGGAGGTAGATTCTGGTCCAGGATTGTTAACAAATTATTTCTAGAGGTTTATTCTAGATCTTGCAAATATGGCAATGCACATGTAAATATTAAAGCAAAAATCTTAGCTCTATTGCATACATGGTTTTACCAATTCACTAAGAGCAAGAAGGAAAAATTATAAAGAAGATAGCAGGCTACCTTTCCAGTACACTGTAGGTGCTGTCCTGGCACGGAGAGGGAGGTCACAAACATAGTGAAGCAGCGAAGCAAGAACACAGTGCCCATCAGACTACAGAGTCTTCGCAGAAGTATTGACCTATAAACAGAGCAATCAAATAAATGGTATAGATCAGACGAAAACAAACTGAAAACCCCAAATATCAAATCGTTACTTAAAGAGAGGGCAAGAAGGAAAACCACTAGCACCACTGTTCGTAGGACCTTCTGCTATTACAAACATGCTTCCTATAGACAACATCTTATATCTGGTACGTATGTCTCTTGAGCACTTGAACTTTGGCCAGAAGGACTAAGTAAATGAATTTTAAACTTTATTTCATTTAAACCAATTGAAATTGAAGTAGTCACATGTAGTTTGAATTCAACTAACTTAATTCAAAGCGCATAATTTCACTGGTAAGTAAGCATGGCTAAGATAAAGTAAAAAGAGTTATACAACAGAAAACTAAGACTAGTACCTACTCTGAAGGCTAGCAATAAGGTATTACTTATTGCTCATAAATTATTTAGGAGAAACATTTTTTTAAAATCATTTTAATAGGGGCTCATACAACTCTTATCACAATCCATACAGCCATCCATTGTGTAAAGCACATTTGTACAAACATTGCCCTCATCATTCTCAAAATATCCGCTCTCCACCCAAGCCCCTGGCATCAGCTCCTTGTTTTTTCCTCTCCCTCCCCACTCCCCACAGGAGAAACATTTATGATTCTAGGGATTCCCCCTTGCTCCACCATTAATATACAGCACTAAAGTTTCTGAATAATGTTTGTTTGGGTTATCATGAACTGCACTGTGTTTTTTCAAAAACTATCTTCTCCTTCCAAAACAGACCCCAGATTCCTGAGGCAAGAATCACGCATTAGATTTTTCCAAATGCTTCTGGCTGCATCAAAGAGCACTGAACACAAGGCTAAATTACCTCAAACTTCAATGTACACAGCCAGATTGAGCCAGGTACCTGAATTTTAAAAAGCACACCAAGTGATCTAATGAAAGTAGTTAAAAAAAAAAAAAAGAAAGAAAGAAAGTAGTACATAAACCAAACGAAACCCATTCAAGTCAAGTTGATTCAGACTCATGGCTGCCCTTCAGGACAGAGTAGAACTACTCCACAGCCCTAGGGTTTCCAAGGCACTAAATTTTTATGGAAGTAGACTGCTATATCTTTCTCCATAGAACCACTGGTAGTTTAAAATTACTAACTTTTTCATTACCACTGGAATGCTTTAACTATTGTGCCACCAGAGCTCCTAAAGCAGCAGTTCTCAACCAGTGGGTCGCGACCCCTTTGAGGGTCGACTGGCCCTTTCACAGGGGTCACCTAAGACCATTGGAAAACACATAAATATTTCACAATATATAGTTACATATTGTTTTGTGATTAATCACTATGCTTTAATTATGTTTAATTCAATTTGTAACAATGAAAATACACCCTGTATATCAGATATGTTATAATTCATAACAGTAACACAATTACAGTTATGAAGTAGTAATGAAAATAATTTTATGGTTGGGGGTCACCACAACATGAGGAACTGTATGAAAGTGGTTGGCATTAGGAAGATTGAGAACCACTGTCCTAAAGTGACACACAGACCATAATGTATGTAAATATATTATTATGTTTTAGGTTAACTTTTACAGAGCAAATTAGGTAGCCATTTAACAATTTTTGTACAAATTGCTTGGTCATTTTGGTTACAATTTTAGTGCCAATGTTCTCATTATCTTCATTTTGTTTTGTTTCCACTGAGCTAGCTTCTTTGCCCCACCTTTCCTTCTTACCTTTCCATTCAGAGGGATGTTGACCACTGGTTTAAGAGAGCATACTACACTAATCACTGGTGATACTGGTTTATTATATATATATAATTAAACATAATTAAAGCATAGTGATTAATCACAAAACAATATGTAACTATATATTGTGAAATATTTATGTTGACCACTGGTCAACATATATATATCTCCACTCAATTAGTTCCCTGAAGTTACCTCTAGGGGATATATATATATATATATATCCACTCAATTAGTTCCCTGAAATTACCTCTAGGGGATATATATATATATATCCACTCAATTAGTTCCCTGAAATTACCTCTAGGGGATATATATATATATATATCCACTCAATTAGTTCCCTGAAATTACCTCTAGGGGATATATATATATATAT